AAAACCAATTGAGTGGATATATTAATGAATTATTTAAATAAATTTTTGCATGTTCTGTGATCGATCCAATAACTTTAAAATCCATATAGTAGTGTCTAACAATTCCACCTTTGTAACATACCTATTTTATTGTGTAAAACAGTGTATATGTATTATAATATATTTTAGTTGGAATTGTATGAAATACACTAACGATAAACATTAAAAATGTTTAAATCCTCACACCCTATACTAATGTGACTACTAAGCGAATTATTGCCGAATTATTAAATCCAATCGGAGGTACTAACCAAATATTTTGTAGTTCTCATTCTATTATGGCCATGTCACTACCATAAAGCGTTCAATAACACACACGATCCCAGCCCCGTTCGGTTCTACTTGCTTTTAATTATAGATTATACTAATAGATTCTGCGAAAAGAAAAATTCCCCGCTGCAACAAACCTGCCCACTACGCGAATATCCATTCGCCTGATTGGATATACACAAAAATATTTTGTTTCAAAATTCAGATGTTTCCCTATACAAACAACATTAGGTTTAAGGTAGCAGCTATGCTACTACAGGCATGGTAGGGTAATAAGGGGTGTAATTCAATGTTACTAGCTTGGTATGGAATTAATATTTTTACAGCAGTCTAACTCAAGACTTTAAATGTATCGATAAAAATACAATATATGTTTACGAAAACAATCATTTTGCTTATTCCTTATGGGGCATATGAAGCTTTCATATATATAGTTTAATCCAGGCCCAATAATTATTAATTCAAGGCAATAAATAAAACTAGTACCACTTATAAGTTATAAACGTACTATTAGAAAAAGAGCGAATAATACAAATAGTTAGTTTTGTTGATAATAAGCCAATCATCGGTCTCAGGTAAGAGACACGACTCTCGGCTTTTAAAATAATCTTTGTATTACAGATATTTGGAGGTTCCGATACGTGGCCAAAATGTGGTAGTCTTGAAAGAGCTACCTCAAAATCACTGCGAGAGTCAACGGATACAATGATTTTTTTAGCTAACTACCACAACTTTAAATTGAAAATGGAGGGTTATTTTAAAAGTATAGGTTGTGATAAGTTTCATTGGAAGCCAATTATGATTTAAATCTTATTTTAAACTGTTTAAATTATTAGTAAAGAATGACAATTGGTGGATGAAGTTGTGGCCGACATCAACGTCATCTAGCGGAGACTTTTTGAACTGTCGGGAACCTCGATGGTTATACATCTAGCGGTGATTGGGAGAACTAGGGAACCTCCGCGGTAATATTATAAATGAGAAAGTTTGGATGTACGAATGTATGGATGTTTGTGACAAGTAAACGCGAAAAATACTGGTCGGATTGGGCTGACATTTGGAGTGATGATAGCTCACATTCCCGATTAACATATAGGCATATTGTTATCTCAAAACTCCTTTCAGGATCCGCCCTAGTGGGCCTTTGTGTTTCCCATGTTAACTTATATTCACATTTAAAAGGAATTAAATAATTTTGTCGGCTGATTAGACCAAACAAGTTGGTTCTATGATATTCAATAGCAATAAATAGTTATAAGGTTTACCAAGATGGAGCAGCACTATTATACAGGGTGTCCCGGACCTCTCTACCAATATTTTAGGGCATTGCTCCTGGGTAAGAAACATACCTAAATATCATATTTAAATTGTCCGGAAGTCCTTAGTTACTAACACAGCCGCCATTTTGTTTTTTTTAGTTATTAATTTTTTTTCTAAAGAATGGTTAAACATACGAAATTGAAACTTTGCACAAACATTTATGACAACTAGACAAAGCGACCAAAAAATTATGACGATTTTTCCAATTCATAAAACAAAATGGCGGCCATTTAAAATTTTGTTTCTTAAATAACTCGAAAACCGTTGATTTTACAAAAATTTTACAAGAATAACTTTTTTAAGGCAATTTTATTACAAATCGATTGACACCTTAATTTTGAAGATTGGACAAGTATTAACTGAGATATGGCAGTTCTAGTGATACGTAACCGCTGGAGGTTAGTTGCAGCGCATGCTGAAAGCGGTCACGTATCACTAAAAATACCATATCTCAGTTAATACTTGTCCAATCTTCAAAATTAAGGTGTCAATCGATTTGTAATAAAATTATCTTTAAACAGTTATTCTTGTAAAATCTTTGTAAAATCAACGGTTTTCGAGTTATTTAAGAAACACAATTTTAAATGGCCGCCATTTTGTTTTATGAATTGGAAAAATCGTCAAAATGTTTTGGTAGCTTTGTCTAGTTGTCATAAATGTTTGTGCAGAGTTTCAATTCCGTATGTTCAACCATTCCTCAGAAAAAAAACTAATAACTTAAAAAAAACAAAATGGCGGCTGTGTGAGTAACTAAGGACTTCCGGACAATTTAAATATGATATTTAGGTATGTTAACTACCCAGGAACAATGCCCTAAAATATTGGTAGAGAGTTCCGAGATACCCTGTATTTTTTGCAATCCATAAACAAAATATACATCCATAAAATTACATAAAAATCCATATACATGAATAAATCCCAAAGTACCCTTGAACTTTTGGGAAAACTACAAGTCACACCCCCATAAACTATGGTACTTAAAATGTTCGTCATGACGAGAAACCTTGCGCAAAACTATTATTTCATCAATTGCCCTAAAGGTCGTAATTCCTTTCTAAAGGGAACTTTCCACACACCTAATTTTAAAAATACCTCAGCTGTACTTATTATAAGTATTCACTAATAATATCTACAATAATCATCGTTGTGCACAAATATTTTAATGTTTTTTTCCAATGATGTTTGACTCGTATTTTGTACTTTATTATACACTTGCTATTATATAAATAAAATAATAATAAATAAATTATAAAACAAATAATACTTAAATAAAAAATATAAATATATAGTGTAATTCAATTTTAAATAGAAAACATATAAAAAAACACAAAAAGCATTATATTTGTAAAATGGTGTTACCGTGGAAATAAATAAATTGAATTGAATTATAAACTTTAATTTTCTTGACCGTTCTCTTTTATTATAATATACATTAAAAAAATATATATTTACAATTTGTTTATATTACTAGGTGCTAAGAAAAAATTAAAATGGAACCAAATGAATATTTAACACAACAAATAATATGAAACAAATTATGTAAATGTTATGGATAAAATGACGAGATTTATTATATTTTTATTATAAGGTATTTACATTTGTAATTATGTTTTTTATTTCATATAACTGTATTCAATAAGAACTTGTTGCATAATCATGTTGCAATAACCTATAACAATATAGCATGATTAAAATTGCATTTGTAGTGGTAGTTTGTATCATTCATTTGACTACGGCGAAACCCCAAGTATTATTTAATACGGAGTTTGGAGGCTGTGTTTTACATTTTAAACCTTATGTATTCGTAACCCAGTATTAGATTTTTCCTTATAAGAAAATACATCTTGTTAATAGTTAGTAGAGTAATTTACAAATTAACCTATTATTTATCAACAGTTCCAACGATGTTTGAAAACAAAATAGCTGAGGCCTATAAGGTTGATTTTGTGAAATATATTTTTGTTATAACTTTTTTATTACTTAAGATACAACTTTGTACCTAGTAACCTTTTCTATTGGCCATATTTTTAGATTAAAACGACGTTTTGACTGATGTCCCATCTCGTACCGTTATCGAGATATAGTCGGTTCAATGCATAGCGCATTCCGCCATTTTTGTTCCCCTCCCCTCAAGTTCTCGACCACCTGAAAAGTTGGCGACATGCGTATTTTTTATCACCACAGTCCGTATTACATATAACTATCAGCAAAGATATTTGATATTACTTATTTGCGACACTGACAAATTAATTTTAGTTTCTGTAAAAGAAAACGACACAAATAGTCCTTTTTTACATATTTTATACAATAAATTGTTTATTATTAGAGATACGACCTCGGACTCAATAACCATTATTGTAATCCACATTTTTAGAATGACAACCACGTTTTAACCGATGCTATTTCTTTTGCCATTTGCGAGATATCAGCGTTTTAACGCTTAGCGCCCCCCCCCCCCACCATGTTTGCCCCCTCCCCCCCACCATATCGACCACTTTTGAAATAGGCGACATACGTAATTTTGATCACCACAGTACATATTGCAATAATCAGCAATAATATTGCGTACTACTTTCATGCATGCTAAAACCCCCTCAGCTCCTGGACTAGACCCCGTTTTTTTAAACATTCAGTTGTTTGTTTGTGACGTTGGCATAGGTGCATATTTTAGTGAAAACTATGTCTGTGTAATACAAATCATACACACACAAATCGCATATGACCATAATGATCTAAAATGTAAACACAAATCCATACCTGGAATAAGGACCCCTAGATCAACGACGCACCGACTACGCATTATTAACTAAAGGCAATTGTGTACTTCAATTTTAGTGGGATTGGAGAAAGATACAGTGCGAATGTTTCGCACGGTTCGGACAGTACAAGGTTATTCCAAAATGCGGATAGGATATATTGAGTTTTGAATAAACAGTTTCGCCATGCATGCGTTATCTGCAGTAAACACTTCAATGTCTAATATCAGAGAAAATATGGAAGCATTTATCACAGTATCGGCGAAGAGACGACATAAACAAACAGACGAACCAATAATTACACCGCACGTCTCTGGCATTGTTCGCGCGTCAGTAATTATTTGTCTTTCGGCTATGATATAATGTTTTGATTCGAGTAATTTTCTCCTAGTATTAAATTATGTGAAGATCATCGGTGTCGATAAGAAAGTCGATTTATGGACGGGTAAATTAATTACACAAACTAGGGGGTACCCCGAGTAAATAACGAATTAGGAAGTCGAATTTAAAATGGCAGCTGTTCGAGCATTGTTGTAGGGGGGAGGTGCCGCCCCCTAGCGCCGACCTGACAGCGCCTGACATCTAGCGGCGGGATCGGCAACTTCACCACTCGCAGCCAACACTCGCGTCGCACCGTCAGTCGGGCGTACACTGCCGTCATGTAAAGATGGCTCTCGGACTCGCGGTCGTGGCGGCGCTGGTCGCCTGTGCGTGTGCTGCATTGGAGCCGGATTGTGACTGGGAACGCGTCCTCAGTGGCGGTGACGACCCTCAGGTCGAAGTTCTGCTACAGTGTCGGTTGCGAACTATCGGTAACGCGGATAGTGTGTTGTCCAACTTGACTTCTGCTCAACTGGATATGATAACTTCCCTCAAACTGGAATGTAGTGATGTGTTATTTTTCGAGAGTTCGCTGGAGTCCAACAGCTACCTGACCCAGCTGAGGCGGTTGCGCGAGTTGCGGTTGGAGTTCTGTAAGATCAGATTTGTGCCGCCGGCAGTGTTGAGTGTGTCCAAGGAGTTGAGGAACCTGACTCTCCGCACCCACAACACCGACTGGTCAGCCATGGCCATGGAGTTCCACTCGGACAGCTTCAGAGGTTTGACGCAGTTAAAGTATCTCGATCTTTCCGATAATAATATCTGGTCGTTCCCTAAAGAACTGTTTTGTCCCCTATTTTCTCTCACCAGTCTGAATCTGTCTAAGAATAGAGTGCAGGAAGTGTTAGAATTAGGATTTTCAGACTGGGGTGCGGGTCCCAGAGCCCCTGGTAAAACGTGTAACGTAGGGTTAGAAGAGTTGGATTTGTCCTACAACGATATATCCGCCCTCCCCGATAACGGGTTCACTAGTTTGCGGTCGTTACAAAAAATGTTCCTTCAAGACAACCACATAGCTCAGATGGCAGACAGAGCGTTCGTAGGTCTCGTAGCGCTGCAGGTATTGAACGCCTCGAGCAACCAACTTGTTGCTCTTCCCCCCGAACTGTTCCAATCCACACGGGACTTGCGGGAGATCTATCTCCACAACAACTCTATCAGTGTGTTAGCGCCGGGTCTGTTAGAAGGCCTGGATCAGCTGTTGGTGCTGGACTTGTCGTACAACGAGCTGACGAGCTCCTGGGTCAATAGAGACACTTTCTCCGGCTTGGTCAGGTTGGTCGTTCTCAACCTCGGCCACAACCAGATATCTCGGATAGACACCCACGTGTTCCAGGACCTGTACACTCTGCAGATCCTCAACTTGGAATATAACGAGATCGACACAATAGCGGAGGGCGCGTTTCTAACGCTCAGTAACTTGCACGCCCTGACATTGTCCCACAACAATCTCATCACAATCGAACCCTTTTACTTTTCTGGACTCTACGTTGTCAATCAGCTTTTCCTAGACCATAACAGACTAACAGACATCGACCAACGTGCCTTCGAAAACTGCACAAACCTGAAAGATCTCGGGTTAAGCCACAATTCTCTTACACAAATCCCCGAAGCTATAAAACTGATTGGACTTTTAAAATCGTTAGATCTCGGTAAAAATAAAATCAAGAACGTAGAAAACTCCTCCTTCCAAGGATTAGATCACCTCTTTAGTATCAGACTGATCGAGAACGAATTAGTGAACGTTACCAAAGACTCGTTTTCCACCCTTCCTTCTTTACAAATATTGAATCTGGCTCAAAATAAGATAAAACACGTAGACAAGGGGGCGTTCGGCGCAAACACTGCCCTGCACGCCATCAGATTAGACGGAAACCAACTAAAAGACATTAACGGAATGTTCGTGAATTTACCTAGTTTGAGGTGGTTAAACATTTCAGACAATCAGTTGCAGTGGTTCGATTACGCGCTGATCCCCCAGTCGCTCGAGTGGTTGGACATGCACAAAAATAACGTGGCGGACCTCGGCAATTACTACGAGAAACGGGACAACTTGCAGATCAAAATGTTGGACGCCAGTTTCAACAGGTTGACCGAAATAGGAGACACGTCGATACCGGACAGTGTGGAAAGTGTGTTTCTAAACGACAATCTCATCCGCAAAGTGAAACCCAATACGTTTTTGCGGAAATCTAACCTGAGCAGAGTGGTGTTGTTCGCGAACCAGATTCAGAACATCGATATCGCAGCTTTGGCATTGGACACCTTCCCTGACGACAAGGAACTGCCTCAGTTCTACATCGGCAACAACCCCATCCACTGCGACTGCACCATGGAGTGGCTGCAGAGGATCAACCAACTCAGTCATCTGAGGCGTCACCCCAGAGTGATGGACCTAGACTCTGTCACGTGTCAGCTGACTCACTCCAGAGGTAATCCTACACGACCTCTGCTCGACCTCAAGCCCTCACAGTTCCTGTGTCCCTACGAGACACACTGCTTCGCCCTGTGTCACTGCTGCGACTTCGATGCCTGCGACTGTGAGATGACATGTCCTCACAACTGTACCTGCTACCACGACCACACCTGGTCCGCCAACGTGGTCGACTGTTCGTCCGCCGGCTACCGCTCGGTGCCTACCAAGATACCCATGGACGCCACGGAGATCTACCTGGACGGCAACGACCTCGGCGAGCTCGGTAGTCATGTGTTCATCGGCAAGAAGAAGCTGGAAGTGTTATATCTCAACAACAGCAACGTAAACTCCATACACAACAGGACATTCAACGGTGTCACGTCTCTGAAAGTGCTCCATATGGAGAACAACCACCTGCAGGAACTGAGGGGATTCGAGTTCGACCAGTTAGAAAACCTTAACGAGCTATATCTGGACCACAACGAATTAAAACACTTAGGTAACGCTACGTTCAAAACCATGAAAACACTGGAGATTTTAACCCTGGAAGCGAATAATATTGTGAATTTTTCCCCTTGGACTCAGTTAAACACGGAAACGTTAGCGGAATTGTCTTTAGAAGGCAACACTTGGACCTGTCGTTGTAACACTGTGGCCCAGATGGAAGCGTGGTTGAGAGAAAACGCTGATGCGCTAAACGTGGACAAGCTATTGTGTGCGGGAGGCAAAGAAACACTATTTGACGCTATAAAAAGATGCGGAGAAAGCAGAGACTCGGCGGCGGCTACCTCGGTGGTGCAGAGATCACCTTTCAACCCCACCATCCTGGGCGCAGACTACATCCCCTTCGTGGCGGCGAGTCTGGTAGTCTTCATAATCATCTTCCTGGTGACTACCCTCGGGTTCATCTTCCGCCACGACGTCAGCCTCTGGGCCCACTCTCGCTACGGCGTCAGGATCTTCAGCGACGCCAACGACGCAGACGACGACAGACTCTACGACGCCTACATGGTGTACAGTGTCAAAGACGAGGAGTTTGTCAGCCAAGTGATATCCTCTAGTCTGGAGAGGTCCGGCTACTCCTTGTGTCTACACTACCGAGATCTTCACGTCATGAATCCCTCCTACCTCACCGACAGCGTGCTGGGGGCTTCAGACGCCGCTAAAAGGATAATTATAGTGTTATCACTCAGTTTCCTCCAAAACGAATGGGAGCGGCCGGCGTTCCGAGCGGCTCTGCAGGCCTGCCTGGAGCGTACTAGAACACGCAGAAGTAAAGTACTACTTCTGCTGACTACAGACATTGGGCCGGACTCGGAGCTGCAACTTCTGTTGAAGGCGTGCAGGGTGATCTCCTGGGGGGAGAAGAGGTTCTGGGAGAAGCTGAGGTACGCCATGCCGGACGTCCGGCGAAAACCGGGGGCTCCGGACCTGAAGAAGGTCGTGGTGGAGGGCAAGACGAGCGCCAGGTACACAGCGACCCCTACAGCGCTGGAGTCGTGGTACAGGATGTCTCCGGCGTCCATGACCCAGAGCTCGGCGCCGACCCAGAGTACGTGCGTCAGTGAGGAGTCGTCTCAGAGGACGACGGACGAGGAAGAGGATCCTCATAGCTACGTCAGCATCGACTATCAGCAGAGGCACAACAAGGTCCATCACCATGTGTACAGCTGTATACCCGACCCTGCGTTTAGCCAGGGCAGGACCTACTTCGTCTAACTCAGGTAATCATCACTACATCACCAACTCGTATAATTAGATTAGGTACCTCCAAAAAATCATCGTAAAGTATTTTGCTAGGCACAAACAGATAAAATAACGATTGATCTCTTCTTTGAGCGTATATTTCTCCCCAAAAATGTTAGTGTTACAAGAGAATTACATGTAAAATGGATTGTGTAAGAAATTCAGTTAAATCTTGACACGAAACAAAAAAAAATAGGTTACAGTAACAGCTGTGAAGGTTTAAAATACAATTTATTATCGTTGCCAAAGAATCTCGCGATCAGAGAAATGTTCAATCCGCTTTACGTTACTGGAGCTTCAAACGGTCATAGATTGGGAATTAATTACTAAGTTGTCCTCTGTTTGAGTAATGCTAGTCGCCAGAGTTCTATACCCCGTCCGTCGGTCTATGTGTAGCCTACATTTTCATACAATTAGTTAAACGATGAATTTGTTTATATCGTTGACGATTACTAATATTTATCTGAATTTACCTGATAGCAAAAAACTGAAATGTGTAAAAATTATTTAATAAAACATTTGTACGTTTATATTTTGCATACTCGGATTTTATAAACATGTGAATAGTGCACTTTTTTAATTTTAATACTTTCTGATTTTAATAAAATACTTAAATATCATAGTAGTTGTGTTGTGAAACGATAAAAATATTCTTACAAAATATAAGCATTACGATAAATTTAAATAAAAAGTTTATTAAAAATGATGCACTACGTGTATTGGTTCATACAGCAATTTTACAGGTTGAATATAAAGTAAAACAAATAAATCTAGGTATTGATTCTCCGTTAAATGTTTCACATATGTAAGGTGGTACAAATCACCTGAACTTATTACCTAGCTAGACTAAAGTAGGCAAAGCTTTAAAATAATTGTAAAAATAGCCTCTTTTCTTTAACTCTTTAGAAGTAAAGAATTTGAAAATACCTTAGACCTTAGACGTAAAGAATTTGAAGAAATATCTGAATTAGAATCTACTAATCTATTGATCAGTAGGCCTATAACATGTCTCAATCATTATATTTTCTAACTAACTTATTAGTCAAGTAAACCAGTTGGAAATTAAATTAGATTTAATTGTATAAGTCTCACTATGTCTCAGTTTTATTTCAATAAATCAATTCACCAACCTCATAGAAACACCACCAATTCTATGACTTTATCAGTAAGAACCACTAATTTCAGTTATTTACCAAGATGTCCGAGGTAACATTTTACAGTGTAATTTTTACGGTTAAAGCGTGTCCCGTAAGGTAAACAGCTGATAATTGCCCAGCTGACTAAATACAGACCACGGTGGAAAATAAGGCGATTGGCCCCACACTGTAATCTCCTGCCTAGCATCATTCGACTGGAATTTATAACCGTCATCTTAGGCGATTATTGTCAAGTGCTAGCAGGTGGTTAAGTGATAAGTCTCAAGTTTGGCGGTAAGTTCCATCCAAGTTCCATCGTAAGTTCTAACGTAGTTCGCGACAAAGGTTAACATCTCACATCCGGTGCCCCACAGATAACATGATGATCTTTGTTTCCTGTTAACGGTTGTGTATTGTTTGTCTAAGTTTGAACACAAGTTTGTTTAGTGAAACCAGTAGATTTTTGTGTGTGTAAAGAAAATTGTAATTTTAGCAAAGTGACTGGATAAGGGTTAAGTTTGAGTTATATTTATGTTTATTTAAGAAATTAGCGGTTTTTGCACTGTAGGGAAAAGTTACAAACTATTAACTTATTGTTAATGTTAACAAATTTTTGGTATAGACAAGTTTGGTAAAATCTTAAAAATCTTCGTTTGAAATATTAGTATTCAATTATGGTACCGTACACGATATAAGCAAGTGAACTTTAACTAACACGTTTAAAAATCGTCCTAACATTTCTCCTATGGGTTAAAAATGTAACTTTCAAAAATGAAATTTGATCGAAGCACTCTTGTTCATCTTACGGTAAATTGAATAACTATTTCCTATGAAGGATATGCTATACATAATTTTTAGGAACATCCTAGGTACAATCAAATTGGAAAACCCCGGACAAATTAAAATAAAAGTAACCGAACGACAGTGAGCACAGTTCGTTGACGCTATCGACAAGATTTGTTCAAACAGTCTTTGTCTGTGCTCGGGACGTGTTTACTTATCACTTGTAACTGTGTGATTTACGCGCGAGTTTTGACCCCCCTTCCCTCCAGTAAATCAGCTGTTTGGGTTTTGGTTTGCGTGCCGTCGCCGTCGGACCGATTAACTTTACGAGAGCCGTGATTGATTTGCCGTTCCGTCTCGGACAGAACGACTTTGTTTTACTACTCGCTCATGTTTCCCGGTTTCAATCACCGTAAACAAGTTCGGTTTAATTAGAATCAGGCGAGGCAATGTTGGAGAAATAGTTTCTCGATGTTCATGGCTCAGTTTATTTTGTAGCTAAAATAGTCAACGATGCAACCAACGATCACATGCAACGTGTATTTATTCTAGATTTGTTTTCCATACTGTATCTGCGAAATATATATTTTATTTTTGTACAATATACTATACATTCTTATTTGTAACAGTTTTTAATTTTACACTCCCTACAAATTGATGTTGAAAATATTAAAGAGTTTATGAAGTGAATAAATGCTAAATTTTAAATGCCGTCCGCAGCTTCATAAAACCCTTTTCCAGTCTTCACATGAGCGTAAGTAAACATTGCCCATGTCAATTTTCTGTGCAAACGCACTCTCATTAATTGTACGATTATGATAAATATGAAGTGTGTGTAAAATGTTCAGTTTACGCATTTGGTAAAATAAAACCTAAATAAATTTGCCTAACGAGATAACAATATACCTAAGGGCAATGAAAAGCAAACAGTTTATTTATTTTCCGTAAGGATAACGTACGCATTTTTAATTTACCTATGTTGGAATTTTCCGTAGCCCTAGACGTACAATAATATCTCCATGTACAAAATTAGTTGTAGGCCTATATAAGCTCTACTAGTATAAGTCAAAAATGAAAAAAACTGAAATTTTACCCTACAACAGTGTTTATGCTGGTTCGCAAAATCGTTCGAAATTGTAGGTTTTACAAACGTACACACTTGTATGCCATTACAATCGGACTCATAGAATTCGATTTCCTGCTCAACGGCCTGCTTAGGACATTTCCTAATTTCAAAACCTAACCACATAAGCGACCCAGATACCTCCAATCATTAGTTACTCGGACTAGCGGTTTTTACCCGGGGTCCATTAATCCTGCAGGACAAAGGATAGCCTATATTCGCAACTCCTTTGTGGACCGGAGCGTTTCTACGGGTCTGAATCAGGCGTTAATGCTGGCCACAATAGTGCAGCCCTGTGGGACTCCACAGACACGCTCTCTAGGTCTAATGTTTTGTAATAATCTCTCGACGAAGATGATGCTGTTGGTGGGAACCGGTTAAATATTTGAGAGAAAAATGTTTTAAATGGAATTTGTGTTAAAGCACCGTAAGTGCAACTTAGATTAAATGTAGGATTCTACTATTCACTGCGAGTATTTCTTATAAAGTTTGTGCTGTTGTTCGATGAATACAGGAACAACGCCAAGATTTGGTCAGTTCTTTTACAACGGTCGCGAACAATTCACCAAAATAATCTATGTAACAAAAATTAATTTTTTTTTTTTAATTTTAATTTATGAATAAGTACAATGTGTTAGCAGTCGTAAAGGTCCTAAAGTGTAATTTCTAATTTTTTATTACACAAAAACTAAACATTTGGAGTGGTCTACTTCAAAATATATTTTACAGTACTACAGTATGTTATTTTCCTGTAACCAAAAGGTAATACTGCACGTCACTGATTATCTTTCAATTTTTCAATACAATGTAACCTAGTACAAGTTTTATCCTACTTTGTAAACTAAACTCATTTGTGACCCAAATTTAAAAATTCCAAAAAACTCCACTTCCCAGCCCTAACATCCATCACCTTTACTAGACGGGGGAGGGTTACTTTTTTGAGCCGGCGGCGATTCCCTTATAATAAATAACTATACCTTTTTCCAAATAGGCACAAAACATGGTGGGCCGGCGCCCCGCTAGGCTTTGTGTTTTACTACACGATGCGCCCAGCAGCCTTTGTCCACAAATCACAGGTTTTGAATGAAACAATTTGTAAACCGTGTCCCGGGAGAGACACACGTGAATGCTGCGTAATTTTGTTACGAGCCGAGCGCAACGTAAAACCGGTGTTGTGAAAATTTTAAATAACTTTCACGTGATAATTTTGTTAACCTTTATATATTTTGTTGATGTTTCGGTTTGTGCCCATGTAGGAGAATTATACAGTAGTAGGTACCTCAAATCTTAGTAGGCTATTATGTAGCCTAATAATCAGAAAACTCCTACTGGACATCTACACGTATATGTACACGTTGTATCACCTATTTCTTCTCGTTTATACCCCAATATCACTTCTTAAAACGCTAGGTTCTAGCCCGGAACCGTTAACACAATACTTCAAAGCCTAGGGGCTCACGAAATTAACACGTATAAAATCCATTGGCGATTTCCAGGATTTGAACCCGAGACCTCAGGGAACGAAACCCCGCGCTTTACTAGACCAGTTCGCTAACTTCATCTCTACGAAAACTCCAATTAAGCACCTGCGTTTTCGTATACATGCAATCACTACACGTTATTCCTAATCGGTCACTGACAACAATCAAACAGCTGAGACAAAGAGAGAGACAGCTGTGAAAGTGACGCAACCAAAGTCACCAGCTGATTGCGGTGTCCGTATCAATGATTGATCTGGGGTCAAGAGTCAGACGGACAGACAGTCGGGCAGATGATGAAGAGATCCCGCCATCAGTGCGGTAGACGTGATATGTATTGTGGATTGCGACGCTGATTCAGTACAATTGTTTGCCGTCACCGACACCATGCTGCTACTTGTGTTGAATCTGTGTGTTGAGTCGTTTCGGTTTAAATTTGCGGTTGATTTTGAGGTTTG